CAAAGAATGGAGGCTTTTGAACTATGGTGCTGGAGAAGATTCCTGCGAGTCCCTTGGGATGCATGGTGATCAAACCGGTCAGTCCAGAGGTGGGTTGCTCCCAGTTCGGCCTGGTTCAGCCGAACTGGTAGTGGTATTCTGGCCTGGGTTGCAGAACTGGAGAGATCCAGGCTGGCCAGGCCCTTGAACCTGTTCTCTGGCCATCTTGCCAGTATGTTGCTTAGTACTGCGAATTTACAGTTCGCTGTAAATTTTTCTGCGCTTACCCAAAGTAAATCAGTAGTAAAACCAGGAGCAACCCACCTCTAGGTCAGTCCTAGAGGAGATCAACCCTGACTGCTCTTTAGAAGGCCAGATCCAGAAGATGAAACGCCAATACTTTGGCTACCTAATGAGAAGGAAGGACTCACTGGAGAAGAGCCTCATGCTGGGAACGATTGAGGGCAGAAGAAGAAGGGGACGACAGAGAATGAGGTGGCTGGATGGAGTCACTGAAGCTGTAGTGAGCTTCAATGGACTCCAGAGGATGGTAGAGGACAGGAAGGCCAGGAGGAACGTTGTCCAAGGGGTCGCGAAGGGTCGGACACGAGTTCGCAACTAACCACCACAGAAAACAGCCGGCAGATTGGGTAGAGAGGCTCCGGAAAGCGGGCGAACAGATGCCAGGCGGGGATTAAAGAGACGGACGAAGCTCCGGCCGCTTCCATAATTGGCTGAGCGAAGCATCTCTCAGCCCCTCCCCGCTTTTCCTTATAAGCGCCTTCGGGAGCCCGCTTGGCCAGACCTGAGCTGAGCGAGACGATCTCGGATTGTTGGCTGCGAATCAGAGCTGGCGAGCGCGCCCGCTGCTGCCAAACGATTCCACCCTGGCTTGGAGCATCGGGGCGGGGAGTGGCGCGCCCGCCGCTCCCTTCCCGCAAGCCGTTTCGCGGAGCGCCGGTGGGAAGGCTCGGAGCTCCCCGCCTGGACCAAGAGACGCCCTGAGGGCGCGCATCTCCATCGGGGCTCCGAAGCACCGACGCGCTCCCTTTCCCTTCCCGGAGTTAAGCCTTCATGCCCGGCTACGGGATTGCGCCTCCTGCCGTCCGAGCCCTGAAGCCGCCTAGAGCCGAGGAGGCTGCCAAGCCGGCGAAAGTGGCGGAGGCGGCGGCAGCAGCGGCTCCTGCAGCGAGCAGCCGGGACTTGGAAGTGCGCGCCGCCGCCGCCGCCTCTCTGCCCGCGGCGGTGCGAGGCGCGCTGGAGCTGGCGGAAGCCCGGCGGCGGCTATTGGAGGCGGAGGGCCGGCGGCACCTGGTCTCGGAGCTGGAGAGCCGCGTCCAGCACCTGCACCGCGTCTTCATCGAGGCCGAGCTGCGCATGGCCACCCGGGCCGAGACTCTGGGCCGCCTGGGCAGCGGCGTGGCTCAGGCCGAGCTTCACCTCACGGCGCACGGGCAGCGCCTGAAGAAGACGGCGCGGCGCTACAAAAAGGCCCGCCCGCCCGCCTTCTTGGCCTCGGCGCTGGCCCTCAGCAGCTGCGTGCCTTGGGCGGCCTGCCGGATGAGGCGAGGGGGCGGCCCAGAGCCGCCGGAATCCCCATTCCGGAGGAGTTTGCCCGGCACGGCGGAACGGAGCGAGACGGAGCCGCGGAAGAGCAGAGCCGGCGCTTCGTGAGCATCCCCGGGAAGATTGCAGGCGACAGGGAAAGACTAGATGACCTCCAAGGTCCCTTCCAGCTCTATTCTGATCGTTTGGTTGATGGACGTATCGCGCGCCAAACCTGGCACGATCCCGCTCGGGAAGGGGAAAGGAAATGGGGACTGTGCGGCGGCAGCTGTTCCTCCCTTCGATGCTCGTGACTCTAACCGCATTAACCGGTGGCTGCTCGCCTGCCCATCATCTTCCGCGGACTGGCTTCTGCCCAGCCTGTTAGACTTTGCTAAACTCGAGTTTGATAGATGCCACAGATTTAGTTTATGCTACACATCAAGCCAACATATTAAACCAGCATCTAGTAGTTCTTTGGGCATGGCGTGTTACATGAATACCACAATTGCGTTTTGTTGGCTCACGGTGAAGCGTCTTGTGTGAATTCAGCAAACGGATGGGGTTGGAGAAATGTTTTATAGCCTAGAGTAATATCGGAAAGAGTACAGGGACATCAATAATTTTCACATTATCCATAAATTATGGAATGAATGAATCCTGTGTGGATTTGAAATTAACGCCCTGAAATGAAATGCAGAGCATATATTTTAGGGTGGTGGTGTGGGAAACCTTCCAATTATTTTTCAACATAATTCTTTTAAAATAATATTGTGATTGAAATTCAAGTTATATCTAAATTTTCTAGGTAGAGGAGATGCTTGCCAGATGACATGAATTCCAATGTTCATCTGCCTAGCTTGATATGTTAAATTATTTTAACCATTTTTGCAATATTCCGTACTTGAGTTCACATTTTTAACGCAGAGGATTGATGATGTGCCCAAAAGCAGTAATCATTCTTATTGTTATTATTTTAAAAAGCTAGGTCAGTTCATGTTCACACAATTGTCAACCTTGTTTTGCAATTCTACCAACATACTTAAAAGGAACAAAAGCCCTAAAATTAGTTCAGGCATAAACAACATATTTTAGTAAATTGAGATCTCTCTCTCTCTCCTCATCCCTCTCCCCCCCCCCCTCACACAAACACCAGCTTTGCAGTTATTTAGCTGTAGCTTCTGAGAAGCAGAGGTTGGAAACAGCCAGAAGGTGGATTGTGCGCTGGCTTGCTTTGATAAGGTTACCCTCATTTCTAATCAGCAGGACAACAATTGCTTTGCTTTGATCTGTGTCTCTTAGAATGCTTTTTAGTCCATCCTTCTCTGACAGCATCAGTTCTCTGAATCCTTAGTCATCATGGCCACTGTTGAAGGTTGCTTGACTCAGTGGGAATCCAGGGAGAATACTGATGGACTTCTAGGTAGCCTGGAAGACCAGAAACAGCTGTATGTTTCTGCCAGATTTTTAAAGCAAAGAGTAGCTTTAAATGCCTTCAGGCCCTTATGTGCTGATAGACAGTCATAGGATTCTTTTTGACATAAATGAAAAATGTATGTGCATGGGCAGAATTAAGTGATTAGGACTGTTTTTTTTTTACACTTTCAATACAAGTTTCTTGGTCTTTTGAATTCATGCAGTGTGTTAATCTGAAACACAATATGCAGAAAATGTTGCAACATTGGTCTTTTCTTTAGCAGGCTTGGGGGGAGGGGTGTAGGGCGTACACACACACACACACACACACACACACACACACACACTCTGCTTCTTTGAAGCTGAACACTAAAATGTTTTTCAAAACATGAATAACCCATCCTAAAAACGCTTTTGGAGAAAAGTCCCGCTAAGTTTCGGTTGGGTAACTCCATCACTTTAGAACTGATATTTGTACAGTCTAAGCAACATAAGAGCCAATTTGGTAAGGTGGTTAAGGCCCCCAGGCTACAAACTGGGAGACAGTGAGTTCTAGTGTTACCTTAGGCACAGAGGCAAATGTGGGCCAGTCCCTCTCTCTCAGCCCTGGGAAAAAGACAATGGCAAACCACTTCTGAAATCTTGCCAAGAAAACTGCAGGGACTCATCTAGGCAGTTGCTAGGAATCAGCACTGATTTGAAGGTGCACGCAAGCAGCAACTGTGGTAATTGCATCATATACCAGTCCAATTCCCAAAACACAAGTGTTTAAAATTTGGCTCATTTTTGCATTCGAGACAGTCGTGCTAATTTAGACAGCAATCAAAACTATACAGATGTATAGCATTTTATTGTTCACTGTATTCCTTTTCCACGTGTGGGGTAAGTAGCAGTACGGAAGCAGGAAGAGCTGATTGAGGGAAAAGAAAGGCCCTGCAAAAGTTTAATTGGCAATTCCCTGAAAAATATTGTTTCCCTGTCTAGAAAATTACTGGTATTACATAAGTTGCAGTACTATGATCAGTGTTCAAAAAGTTTTAAAACTTCTGATTATTACCTATCTGGAGGACGCTAACTTGAGGAAAAGTTGATTTGGACTTTGGTGATGTTATCCATGGATTAGGACATGCAAACAACCCATGTCATTAAAAAAAATAGCTCTTAATGGTTGCATGTCAGGTTTTATTAAAGGCAGTGGAATAGGACTGAGAGATGGTGATGAAAGGTGGAAATCCTGGGTAGGAATTAATTATAATTAAATGCTGCCTTGACTGAAAATTATAAATGCTAGAATGAAACCAAAAAAAACCCACATTCTCTGATTAAGTTAGGTTTTCCCTGAAGAATGTCTATTACCTGAGCATATATTACTTTCTTCTTGAAAATATACAGCATAGGAGCTTAACAGTAGATGGACTCACCACCATAATTAATTTGGTTATTGGATTTATCTTTTTTTCGGGGTTGACGTACATTGAATCATTTAACTGGCTGGGTTCATGCAACACACTGAAAATGAATTAAAAACTAAGCTATCTGAACTTAAACATGCAATGTAAATACAGCTGCTAGATATTTAGCTGACCGTGCTAAGTAAATTCTCCCACAGCAGTCCATGTAATACTAAAACGTATATGCAGAATTAAATTCTGTAGAATTCGACATTTTGTAATCCCGGCTAAGTGGGCATAGAATCGCAGCCTAAAAAAGCCCAGCCCTTTGGCCCAGCAGATGGCTTGTTAAACAGCTTTTATTTATAGAGTAAAAAAGTAGATTGGATAAAGAAAAGTGGGCAGAGTTTTCAAATGTACTTTGAGGGAGGATTAACATCTGTTCTGAGCTGCCTGCCTGCAATATTCCGGAGTCAAAAAGATAGGAAAACTTCTTGTTTGTCTACAGCAGCATGTCTCAACCTTAGTAGCTTTTAAGATGGGTGGACTTCAACTTTCAGAATTCTGAGAGTGGAAATCAACCCATCTTAAAGATGCCAAGGTTGAGAAATATTGTTTCGCAGTAATTGGCAGTAATGTTTCATATCCCATCTAGCAAAATAAGGGAAGGAAGTCATTCACTCATTGGCATCCTTCAGTCTCAAAAGACGATGGTATCGTGCTCTGGAAAGGTCCTAATGCAGCATCTGGTGTGGCTAAAGAGTCAAATTCGGGAGTGGGAATCCCTTCCACACTGAGGGCAGATACATTCTGTCCCCTGCCCAGCCCCCAGATTTTGCTAGTTCCAGGACTGCCTCTTTGCCTCTGCCTGCCAAACGAGTGTCTCTTCAAATTGGAGGAAGTTATGCTGCGTCTTTAACCTCCAAGCTGAATGATCAGAGGTCAAGGTTTCCCANTTCAAATGTACTTTGAGGGAGGATTAACATCTGTTCTGAGCTGCCTGCCTGCAATATTCCGGAGTCAAAAAGATAGGAAAACTTCTTGTTGCTTCATTATATTTCATCAGGAATGCCTTTTGTTGCCTACAACGGTATCTTTTGTGGGGGAAAAAAACCTTAAGTTATTTGAGCAGCTTTGATGCATATCTTTAAAAAAAAAAAGGGGGGGAAGCCCCCCTACAAAAATTGTTCTGGGGGAGTACAAGTAAAAGCTTCAGTTACATCAGGGAAGTCCAACCTTATCATATTTTAAGACCTGTGGACTTTAACTCCCAGAATTCCCCAGCCAACCCATTCTGGCTGGGGAATTCTGGGAGTTGAAGTTCACAAGTCTTAAAATTGTCAAGGGTGGACACTCCTGATTTATATATAGAGAGAGACAGCTGTTTGTTGTATAATTTTAGGGTCCCATCGTTTCTGATGGATAATAACTCCTGCAATGAATGTATGCTTTTTTATAGCATAGGCATCCACTGGAAAGAAACATTTATTTGTACCTAAATAAATATATTTTCACTGTATATTGTCTGTGATATTGCATCAGAAGTGGGAAGAAAAAGGTGAGATGCCAAGGAAAGCAAATCTTACACAGGGTGATACCTTGGGGAGAAGAACTTGGGTTATGAGCGAGGGCTCCTATGGATCACATGAATACCCATGGAGCCTGAAGTACCTCCTTGAACTCCAGAAGCCTTCAACAGAAGAATAAAGGAGTTTGCATTTCATACCTTTCATCTACACATGGGAAATCCAGAGTAGCCTCATTCCAAATTGGAGTGCGCTTTAGCTAGATTCACAGAAATAGGAGAGAGGAAAAACACTTAGCACCACCACCATTACAGACTAAATTGTAGGCAAAGGCGTTGTTGGGTGCTTGAAAAAAAGCTGCAACATTGGTGTGTAAATGGAAATAAAAATCTGGTATCTTGCTTAGATGGGATGGCATACATGAATGGTCGGCAGGGATGAAAAACAAGAATGCAATGTACAGAACAAGAGGAGACCATTTTCTCCATTCAATCTTAATTAAGATTTAGCAGCAGACTCAATGCTGACTTATAGGGCTGTGGTGGGATTCAATTTTTTTTACTACCTGTTCTGTGGCCGTGGCTTGGTGGGCGTGGCAGGGGAAGGACACTGCAAAATCCGCATTCCTTCCCCACCCCAGTAACCTGCTTTCCAGCTCCGTTCTCCTGTGGAGGGCAACAAAAGAAGACCCAGCCAATCAGCTGGGACTCGGAAAGCAGGGAATAGATGGGGGCGGGGGCAGTCAGAGGTGGTATTTGCCGGTCCTCTGAACTACTCAAAATTTTCACAACTGGTTCGCCAGAACTGGTCAGAACTTAGGGGGAAATGCAGCTTTGGGCTAAGGTTGAGAGCCAAAAAGGGTTGTGGAACCACAGAAAAGGATCCATTTCAGCTGCATTTTTTCTCTGGCCTTGAAACACAGAGGGTTTAATTGCCAGGATTTTATATAGATTACAAAGGGAGGTTAAGGTCCCATGCAGGGGTGGGTTGCTGACGGTTCACTTCGTGCACACTTTGCACAGTTGTCAGTAAATAGTTCTGCCCATGTGCAGAAGATGAAAAAAACCAGTAAAAAACATGCCAGCAATGGCATCGCCGACCGGGGAACTAGTTCAGGGGCGTGGCCAGCCTGGGTTGCTACCGGTTCGGACGACCAAGGCCAAAATGCCACTACCAGTTCGCCCAAATTGGTGTGAACCAATAGGAACCCATCTCTGGTCCTGTGCTTGGGTGTAAAAAAGTCATCAAATAAAGTCTCAGGATCTCCAGATAGATCTGGAAAATATATCTAACTGGTGTCGGGGAAATCAAGGAGGTAAATCCAGAAATTCAGGTCAGTGCTCTACAATGGATCAATACAGGATTCTAGGATTTTTTTATACTATATGTTGGAAGAAAGGGAGACCAGCTCCATACCAGCACAGACCCATTGTCTACAGCAGCATGTCTCAACCTTAGTAGCTTTTAAGATGGGTGGACTTCAACTTTCAGAATTCTGAGAGTGGAAATCAACCCATCTTAAAGNTTTAGATCCCTCTTGCAGATATCCTTATATCACAGCTGTGGTCTCCCACTGGGTCGCTTTCCCTTCACTAATTCTCCATGCAGGAGATCTTTTGGAATCCGACCATCGGCCATTCTCACAACATGCCCACGCCAGCGTAGATGTTGCTGTTTCAACAGTGTATACATGCTAGAGATTCATAGAGGGAAGGAAGTAGAGGAACGTATAATGGAGCACCGAGAAGGCAGAAGTCCATTTCTATGAAAGTATCATTAACTGGAGACAATGGAAATATAACACATACTACACATCAACGTATGGGAGATGTTGGTCCTCATAAAACTGGTTCCCTTCTGTAAAATACAACATTCACACGTTCAGAACACAGAGCTTTCTGGTGCCTTCAACTCACATGTGAATCAATCTAGTACAAGAGGCTTTGATAATGTTGAAATTCAAAGTCGCCAGGTAAGAATGTAGAATGCAAATGAGGTGGGCGGGTCTGCATAGAAGATAGGTTTGTGACATCTACAGCTTCAGTTCAGTACGTGGCTTATTGAGTCACTGGAAGGAATCCATGGATACATTAAATGAAGGTAATCCTTCATGGACTTGATCCGTTGAGGTGTTTTGGTGGGTGACAGAAAGGAAGCGATTGAGTCACAGATCTGGTACTGATGCTTCCAAAAGACCTTATGCTTCTTTTCCTCTTCCTCTGGCAAGCCATTGCTGGGAAGGCAGCACCATCCCTTAATGACACTGTAATTATAGGCATGAGGGTGGAGAATAGTAGCAAGGACGAGACAATCATTTTGGAAGATGGCATGACCCAAGTGGTGGAAGGAAGCCTGATTCACATTCGGATCTATGGTAAAGAAATCCACAAATTCAGCTGGCGGAGGATTCGGTTTGTGGAGATGACTTCCTTGAGTACTTTTATCAGGAACTTTTCAGTCTGCCCTCAAGGAACAAGCGATTTATTGATACAGCCGTACCTCGGCGATGTGCAAAATACTTCCGCCATACTCTCTGTGAAGGTCCAGATCCTGCGGAAGAATATCCACTTCAAGGACTACATTATATGCCTTCAGGATCATCATGGGAGATCACGCCAGCTGCTCAGGGAGAGTCACCTGCTGCTCCGAGTGATAGAGGACAAAAGTTTGCAGCTACCCCTCTGGCTTCAAATTACTATAGTAGTTACCCTCTTGGCGCTCTCAGGGCTCTTTAGCGGCCTCACCCTAGGCCTCATAGCCCTTGACCCTATGGAATTGCGCATTGTGAAAAATTGTGGCACGCCCAGGGAGAGGAAATATGCCACAAAGATCGAACCCCTCCGAATAAAGGGGAATTATTTGCTCTGTTCTCTGCTGCTGGGTAACGTTTTAGTCAATTCTTCTCTCACCATATTGTTGGACACAGTTATTGGGGAAAACATTTGGTCTATTGTGATGGCTACTATTTCCATCGTCCTCTTCGGGGAGATCCTTCCACAGGCCATCACCTCCCGTCATGGTTTGGCAATAGGTGCCAACACTGTCTTCATCACCAGGTTGGTTATGTTTCTCACATTCCCGGTTGCTTACCCTATCAGTAAGCTCTTGGACTACCTCCTTGGGCAAGAAATGGGCACCGTCTACAACCGAGAGAAACTGATGGAGATGCTTCGGTTGACTCAGCCTTATAACGACTTGTTGAAAGAAGAGCTGAATATCATCGAAGGAGCCCTGGAGTTGAGGACTAAGACGGTGGAAAGTGTCATGACGCCATTAAAAGACTGCTTCCTTATCAGCAGCAATGCCATCCTGGACTTTGATACAATGACCGAGATCCTAAAGAGTGGCTACACCCGTATCCCAATCTACAAGAATGAGAAAGGGAACATTATTGACATGTTGTATGTCAAAGATCTTGCATTTGTTGATCCAGATGATTGCACCCCACTCAAGACAATCACCAATTTTTACAACCACCCAATCCATTATGTCTCTGACACTACCAGGTTGGATGCTGTGCTTGAAGAATTCAAAAAAGGTAATGACAGAGTGTATTTCATACCGGCTTTGGGATGGTTGATAAAATAGAACAATTAAGGGATGTTTAGGACAGGCAAAAGCAGCTGCCCTATTCTTTTTTTAAAAAAGGAGTTGTGGTCAGTCACACAACTACCTCCGTGCAGGTAGCTAAATAAACTTTTCTGGAGGTTTCCACAATTCCTGCTCACATGATCCCATGTCTCCCTCTCCTAAAAGTTTGGTAAAGATTTAATAGTTTGGCTTTATGTTTGAATAAGGAGAAAAACATATATAACAATAGCAATAGCACTTAGACTTAAATCCCATTTCACAGTGCTTTACAGCCCTCTCTAAGCAGTTTACAGAGTCAGCCTCTTGCCCCCAACAATCTGGGTCCTCATTTTACCCACCTCGGAAGGATGGGAGGCTGAGTCAAGTTTGAGCCGGTCAGGATCGAACTGCTGGCAGGGGTGGGGGGGCAGAGTTAGCCTGCAATACTGCATTCTAAATATTGCGAGGGAAGGAAGGAAGGAAGGAAGGAAGGAAGGAAGGAAGGAAGGAAGGAAGGAAGGAAGG